AACTGACAAACTGGTAATGGCCAACCAACCGGACATAGTAGTGGTGGACAAACAGAAGAAGAAGGCCGTAGTGATAGATGTAGCAATGCCAATAGCAACATCAGGAAGAAGGAAGGAACACGAGAAGCTTGAGAAATACCAAGGGCTGAAAGAAGAGCTAGAAAAGATGTGGAAGGTGAAGGCACAAGTGGTCCCTGTGGTAATAGGAATATTGGGGGCTGTGACCCCCAAACTGGGAAAGTGGCTCCAACACATCCCAGGAACAACATCTGAAATCTCTGTCCAGAAGAGTGCAGTCCTAGGAACAGCTAAGATACTGCGCAGGACCCTCAAGCTCCCAGGCCTCTGGTAGAGGACCTGAGCTTGAAGGAAGGAATACAAGACTGCCCCGAAGTGGGGGGCGAGTGGGGAATTTTTTTTATAGAGAGAGAGAGAGGGAGACAATAGATAAACTATCTAGCTAGATATACTGTACATATCTAGGTAGATGGAGCCACAACGGGAGACAACCAGGAAAAGGTTCCATGCATGGGATGATTTCCAATTGCTGCCGGATAATAAGGTAAGTATGAGTGTTGTTTTAATTTCACCTGTATTTACATTGGAAAACTCAGCTTCATCCTCCAGCAACAGTAGCAGCTTCCACAGGTATTTCATTTTTATTTGATTATGAATAAGGCATGACTAGTGACATTTCTGGTGAGGATGATCTTCAATGTTTTTCAGGTGTTGACCTGAGGAGACTTTTGGATTAAGATGCACACAGAGCCAGGCACATGCACACCTAATGCAATTGTGGAAGTGAGCCGATACCTGGCTAATCCTACCCTGGAAAAAACAGATGACACCCTCACATACTGGGCCACCCATGAAACTGTTTACCCAAACCTCTATAAATTAGCCAAGCATTTCCTGTGTACCCCAGCCTCATCTGTGCCATGTGAACGGGTTTTTTCCAAGACTGGGGAAATGGTCTGTAAAAGGAGAAACCGCTTGTGTCCGAACACTGTGGATTTACTGTTATTTCTCAATAAAAACTCATAAACAGTTACAAAAGCACACCCTCTTTACCCACATACCCATGAACCCCAAAACACACCTTGCCAAGGTCTATACTATAATCTGTATTTGCACCAGTCCCATGTGCGAATGACATCTGTCTGAATCTGTAGAGCACATCTCATGAATGTAGCAGCACCATTTAAATGTTTCATAACACAAAATATAAGTGAGGAGCATATAGGGTTACACTCAGACATGCCAAATAAGACATGGTCTTCAACATGAGTCCATGTTTATTTTATATTTTACTGTATCAGCTTGAAACCATACAATTATGTAGTGCAGTCGAACAGGAATGTACATGGTTAATCAAATCCCAATCCATGAACCAATAAGTGACACATCTTGATTGCACTTCATTTTCTTGACCACTAGATGTCCTACTCGAGCACTGTGTCGTTGAGGCCTCCAGTAATGAACCATTTTTGTGAATACTGTGTTGAAGCTTCAATAAAGCCACGACCACCCATCACTACCCACAACTTGAACCTTAATGCAGACAGATAAATCTCCCACCCACTAATTATGCAGAGTAACTCCCCTAAATCTGCATGATACCTTTCTCCAGATCTAAAAATAACTCCAGGCTTTGCAGCAGTCTTTTGGGATCGATCGACACAGGGGGCTCATGTTTCCTGTATCACTGTCTTTGCTTGTGTAGGGTGCAATTCCTGCAGAGCAACCGCAGATTGCTGCTGCCCATCCACAGCGTTGTGTGCCTCGTTACCTTTGGCCTCTCCCTGCCTGTGGCCATCAGCCTGTTCCCCCAGATATCACAGGTAAAATACAACATGTCCCGTCAGATGAACTGCTCAGGCAGCATCTGGTAAAAAACAAACTAATCACTTATACACCACTTGACATGCTTAGCCCCACCCCACACACTTGTCTTTCTTCCCACATCTAATTAGAAGTCAGAATGATTTTCAGGGAATAAAGACTGATGTAGAGGAAAAATTCCTGCCTTCAGTTTAATGTTTTTTGTTGGTTATTGCAGATTGAGGTGTCTTGCCTTGAGCCAGAGATTGCCATGGCAACAGAGTGCAAGGTGGTGACCTACAACAAGGGTTTATGATGGATGGCGTGTTGCGGGAGAGGAGAGGAGAGGACGGGGAGTAACGCAGGAAATGAGGCTGCATTGTGAACAGCTGTCAGGGTGAACCTACTGTAGGGTTCCTCCTGTCGACATGTTTGGGAACTACCTGCTGCAGTATCATAGTAGAGACTGCAGGTCATTGTGTACTAATCTGGGCTTTTTAAACCTTTTTTAAATACAGTTCTCATGATGCTAGCACTTAATGAGGAATGGATTTTATCTTCTTGCTGTTTTCAAGAGCAAGAAAGCAGATCTGTGTATAGAAAGGATGCAGTTACTGTTAAATCAGTTTTTTAGCATTACTAAAATGATTTAATATATCCAATACAGTGTTTTCCAACCCATAGAAACTTGCTCAAGTCTTTTTTGAGCCATTTTAACACTGACGAAGGTTCATGACATTGTGATAGGGCAAACGTGCTAGCAAACAGTTGCCTACAGTGTTTACACATCCAGCAGATATGAAGATATGTGCTGATACTTTGTATAACAAGAAACTGTGAACAGTAGAGGAATTGATCACCGGTATTGCCAATTTAAAGCCACTCTGTCAGTGTATATGTCGTTGAAAATATTGAGATTGTACTGTATGTTAGTTTACCTTCTTTGGAAATGTATAAATCACAATTATTTGTTAACCCAAATAATGTGAAATAACATTTAGCACACTACTGTGAATTTTAACTCTCCTTCCTAACTTGTAGGGTATTTTACTCTACTACAGTTTGTTAAACTACTGTTTATCCCTAAAGAATAATCCTTCACTTGGCATGTTATGATGTTCTAAATTGTTATGGTTCCTTGATGGGTGTGGAGCTTCAGGGGTTAAGAGGTGTAAGGGCAGGAGGGAGAGAAGTGTGAGAGAGATTGGAGCTACGCAGGGTGTTAGCAGATTGTTATTCTTTTCTTGTTGTTGTTAGGCTGTTTTTTTTGGCTTGGTTACGGACAACAGTAACCGATTGTGTGGAGTTAATAAAAGCGACTATTCGTCGGCACTCAGGGTTGTCCTCCTTGTGTCCTGCGGGATGCTACAATATGATATAAATATAATCCAGTAATATGATATACATTAATATGAAATGTGGCGTTCTACATAATGAGTACTTTTCCTTTTGGTACTTTAAGTATATTTTGATGCCTATACTTTCGTTCAAGTAACATTTTGAATGTAGGACTTGTAACAGAGTAGTTTACACTGGTATTGCTACTTGAACAATCCGAGTACTGTTACAATAGTTTCCAGTCTTGCTCTGTGAACCTCCTGCAGTTCACACTGCGGCCACCAGAGGTCGCCCCTCGCAGGAGATAAAGCGTCTGTGTTGTGGTTGAAAGGTGAAAGGTCGTTTGAAACATGGCTGCTCTCTTGGATAACATGTTTTCTTTCTGCGTGGACCCCGGCAAAGTTTCCGGCAGCGTGGAAGTCAGATTTATCGACAATATTAAGGTAAAACTGATTCCGTTTTGTCAAACTAAACGGACATAAACTAACGCGTTAGTTTGAAGTAGCGGTGTTGTGTAACGTTAGATCCCAGTCAGCAGGGCAGAGACTGCTTTGGTCCGAAATGAAAGTACTGGATACACGCGATAGTACAGTTTTCTGACACGGTCGGACATTAATGTCTCTGTTCTCATTGTTCAAATCTACCAGAAGCGTTTTCATTTGTTGGTTATTTTAACGTTAATTAAAACCGTGCAGCGAAAAGTAAAGGAACCGGCAAGTACAGCCATTGTTTTCCATTATAAAACCTACTCACGTAGTATGTGCATGAAAGAAGTAATGTTACTGTGCCAGTCAGACCAAGCTGCTTGCTGTTTATTCAAAGAGGAAAAGTTTGGTCATGGTCGGGACCAGACAAAGGTAGTTTGACAGCCGACTCAAGTCAATACAAACCAATAATAAGTGTTATAACGTTACAGACACTGAAGTGCAGGTTAATGTTGTGTTAGAATATAAGAAATCCTACACACCACTGACAAAAAATATGATACGGTGGTTTGAGTTCAGCTGCTGGAATGAAAATGACATTTTATATAATTACTTGTTTTCCATCTAAATGTGCAGGGATTAAGGGACTGGCCAGTGTTTACAGTAAGTACAAAGTAGAATTAGAAATATATTTAACAAATATGATTAATAAATTGCACAGAGACAGGACTTGGTCATTAGCAGCAGTATAGTGATAACAGTGCTCTTAGAAATACTGCAACATGCCCAACAGTGACAGTAGAAGCATGAATCAAAGAGTGGAAGAAGAAGTAATGACTGTGTTACTGATGGCCTGTGGGCAGAAAGTGCTGCTTCAGGATTGAATGCTGTGGTACCGTCTGATTGCCTGATCGTAGTCTAGTAAACAGTATGTGTGCTGGGTGACTGTGGCCTGAGGTCATTTGGTGAGCCTTCCTCAGACAAGAGCCAAGACAGCAATAAAAGCAAAGTTAGGAACAATGAGCAGAAGCTGTTGCGTTTCAAAGACCGGTGGACTGTGTCCACCAATAACTGTTGATGTTCTTTATTTATTTTTACATGTTGTAGGGTAAGGGTCTCTTCGCCAAAAGGAGCATCAAGAAGGGAGAGACCATTTTCATTGAGCGGCCTCTTGTTTCTGCCCAGTTCCTGTGGAATGCTTTGTATAAATATAAAGGTGATGTCTTCAAACTTCCACATGTTGTCTGTGTGTGAATACAAACAGCACTTTTGTAAGAAACAAAAATTCTATTCAGGGGTGTGTGTTTTATACAGTACATATACAGAGACTTTTGAAGTGCATACTGTACCAGTGGATAAGGAGTAAGACTGATGTTGCATTAATAATATATAAGAATGTATTGTTGACAGTCCACAGAGAGATGACTAAAGCATGACTGGTTTATCGGAACATGGGCTTGACACATCTAATATAAAGAGGATGAAACTGTTATACTTTAAATCAGCAGGATCACAGTGTGTTTCATCTGCTCCACTGTCCTTTAACAGCCTGTGAGTACTGCTTACATGCTTTGGAGACTGCAGAGGAGAATGCGAGGAGACTCAGCGGCATCCCTGGACTCAGCCTTCCTCACCCTGAGCTCTGCCGCGTTCGACCAGAGCTACACCAAGCATGCCCCCAGTGCCAGGTCAGGCCAATCATATACCGAGGAAGTGATTTCCCAAATGGAATCATGCTGGGTTTTGAAGGCCTAAGCTTTTTATTGTTTTTATTAATGAAATTGGGAAAACAGAGCCAATGGTTTATCCTTGTTTCTTTGTGTTTGCAGTTTTGCGTAAGTGGACAAAATAAAACAATGTAAGAAAATGCAGTTCCTAAAAACAGTGATATTAGGGGAGATTTAAATAAACAATATTTGGTAACATATCCATTTTACATGATTAAAATTAAGAATAATTAAAAGTAAATCTCTGATTAACCAGTACTGTTTCATACTATAACTCTAGAAAATGCCCCTTATCTTCTGAGGAATCATGATTTAATGAAAAATTTTTTTTCCTGATATGACCAATGAAAAAGCAGATTTAAAAAAGTCAAAATGTGATATTTTTGCACAGTGGCCTTTATTTATTTCAACATTATTTTGATGCTGTATTTTTATAAATTCATGTCCACTGAAATGTATGTCCCTGAAAATTCAGAAAAGCATTGATTTCTACAAAAATATGTACAGAATACTGCATGTTTCATCCAAATTTGTGCATTAATGAGTTTAGCCAGTCACCCCGAGCTACACATATACAAATATACGTTGTGGTTTCCACCTAGTGGTTAATGAAACTGCTGCATGGAGTAAAGTAGCAATGTTGTCATTGGAAGCCTTTTCTGACTGGTGTGAAACCCTGTCCCTCTGTAGGTGATGTACTGTAGCAGCGAGTGTCGACAGGCAGCAGCAGATCAATATCATCGGGTTCTGTGTCTGGGTCCGTCCCACGAAGATCCAGACCACCCCATCAACAAGCTCCAAGAGGCATGGAGGTAAGGGAGCACTTCACACATACACTCTGTGCACAGCAGCACTGCCTTAAACTCTGTTCTGTACAGATACACCAGAGAAAGTGGTCACCGAGTTTATTTTTCATTGTAAACCCATTTCAGTGCATTGATTTCTTTTTAGTTTTCATACGCCTCAAAGACCATAATGTGTCCTTTCATCAGGAATATGCATTATCCTCCTGAGACCTCCAGCATCATGCTTATGGCCAGAATGGTAGCTGTGGTCAAACAGGTGAGTCTCTGATTACTTTGAGCTCCTAAATCATTGGGTATCAATTATTTGGGATTCAGTACATTCTGATGTGTGGACATTTTACAGGTATCCATGCAAAACAAATATTAGAAAACACCTTGCTGAGAAAAGGCGTAAAAGGACGCATGTAATTAGATTTTCATTACCTGTTCCCTGTTGTTTAGACATGTTGAAATCATACTTTATGGTGTTGCTTGAAATAAACTTACCCCTTACTAATAGAAATATGCACAGCTGGTTGTGAAAATGATTTCTGTTAAGGTAGGAAACTGGTGAAATGATTTCTCATAAGTGAACATTTCTCTTCCTCTGATTGACAGTAAACAAATATGATGCACTAATTGGAAAGCGTATAATGTGATGTGAGTTTAGAATAAGAGACAATATTAAGGCTACATATACTGTATACTATGGTGAAAAAAGGTTTAGGCAGTTCTAGTTTTTGTAAATTAGTGTATAAAAGTGATTGACAACATCTGGCTTCCTATTAAAGGATAAAAAGTTCTGAGCCCGAGCAGGAAATCACACCTAACTGGCCAAAAATTCTCAGAATAATCCATTTTTGGTCCTACTATCAGGAGTAAAAGTAAGAGCAATGTATAAGCCTAACTTAGGAAATCACTCCTATCTCTACCAACATGTAGGAGAACTCCAGTGGTATCCCAACTAGTTAGGAGCTGCCAGGATGAGGTGTTCAGACAGAGACGGCCACACTGACTGAGGGAGGAGAGATGTTTTACTTGTACTTAATGATACCGGGCCCATTGAAAGATACATTTCTGCAGGATGCAGTTGCTCCATTAACAAGAAGAACACATGCTGTGTCCACTAAAACGGCAAGTACTGTAACTTTACACATTTTAATAACAAACCAGGTGCACCAACAATGATGGTTTGAGTCTGTCAGCACTGACAGTTTAGGCCATAATAAGACCTTGATCGCTTTTAAAGCACCGCTGATAATGCACCGATTTGTTAATCTCCCTACCACTCAGTGTTGATCAATGAAAAACCAGCTACTGTGCAAACACGCTGAAGTCATCGATGGTACGCACATCAAAATCCTCGCCCCGAGCACCGATGAGGACGCGTCTGTGAATCAAAAACATCACGATCACAGCATTAATATTCAAGTGCTTTTGAACTACATGATCCTTGATTTAGTCCATGTACAACTCAAGTGAAAGCAGACAAAAACTTTGATTTGAAAATAATCATGTTGACTCTGACAGCTTCGTCACAAGGATTTATACAAAAAAATGAGTCGGACGGACTAATGAAGGTAATTTCACACAGCTGGGTCACAGTACGAGCAGCTGGTGTAAAGCACATTTACTAAAGTGTTTAATAAACATGTTATCTTCAGTTATCAGCTTCTTGCTCGCACACACAATGCTGATATCGGCATTTCAAGTTTCCACTGTCTAAAACTACAAACCTCAGTAGTCAGAAAAACTACACCACGTCACTATAATGTCAGCTTTGTGGCTCTGAGTGTTATAAAACTGTGACATCACATAGGAATAGAGTTTCTCCTTGCTGAAAGTGAGAGTAGGATGTGAATAACTATGTCCCTGCCCTGTGGTAGGGGTTTATTGACACCTAAGGTAACTTTCAATGCAATTCCTAGAAGTGATTCTGAGACACTTGATAAATACAGGCCCAGGGTCGCTATTTATCAAGCATATTAAAAAAAAGCTGGTAGCAGAAGATAACACAATCATTAAAGGCTTTAGTATGGTGCTTTCTACTAATTGCCTTTCTGGGTGGGTGGAAGTTTATGTGAAAGCCACTCATAATGAAACTCACTTGTGTGAAACTGTCTTCGTCAGCTCTATCCAGTCACATTAATATAAAGTCTGTGTCCAGAGGGAACATAGTTATTTCCCAAAAAGAAGTTTTAGTCTGCTTTCACTTGGCCGCTCAATCGAAGATCATGTAGTTTGCAGTCACAACAACTTGAGTGTTAATGCTGTGATAACATTTTCAGTTTCATTTAAATGTCCTTGTCGGAGTTCGGGGAGATGATTTAATGTGTGTGCCATCGATGACTCCAAGAAATCCAGGGAAACCAGTGATTTGCCTAAATGCAGCTGGTTTTTGGTTGATTCATGTTGCGTTGATGAATGAATCTTTGCGTTATCTGTGGAGCTGTGAGCGCGATCAACATTTCATTTATGTTTTTTACCAGCATTTGTTGGTTGGTTTGTTCACAATATAACTCAAAAAGTAATGATTGTGTTTTGATAACATTTTTTTGGAGATGTAGGGTATGACCAACAATCGGTTAGGTTTTGATGCCGATCTGGATCATCATTTGGATCCAGGAATTTCTCAAAGGATTCTTCATCATTGTAAAATAGGGCCAATTCCAGTATTTCTACTTTTAACTCCATACACAGTGTCTAGAATGCTTGGACAAAAATTGCAAGGTAGCATCCATATAAGATCTAACACAGACCAACTCGTATTCAGGATCTTATGATCCAGAATGTTCATATTTATAGGGCTCACAGAAAAAAGACACTACTGTGAGATCAAATTGTAGCTGAAAATCTGCTGATTCAGCAGGGTGTGACAGGTACTGTACTAGATCCTCAAAAAAAAAAAAAAAAAACTGGCACTAGTGAAATATTTTTCTTGAATAACTAATAATGATGTCAGTGTGATTCTAAATGCTAGGGCCAGGTTTTCATGGTCAGTGAATCATACTATGAGGGTCTCATGGGAATAATGATTGTAGGTGGAATGACTATAATAAACCTGAGCTGCCTTTGTGCAGGTTTGTGCTGTCTGGTTATGATTGAAACTGTCGGGTTTGACAGATTCATCACTGTTTCTGCACCTGCTTTGTTAAGTGTAAAGTTGCAGTGACTTTGGTTTCTGTGGAAACAGTGCTCCTCTTGTCAGTGCAGAAGTTGCATCCTGCAGAAGATCTGTCACAAAAACTGTTCAGTTTTTTTGGCCAAACTATATCTTCTAATGAGCTCGGTGTCATAAAGTGTAAGTAAATCAGCTGCCGTCCAGTGGCATCTGTGTGCTTGTGTCTGTCTGAACGCCTCCTAGCAGCTCCTAACCAGCGAGGACACCTCTGGAGCTCTCCTTTATTTGATGGAAAGTGATGTGACTTCCTAACTTAGCAATGTTGATAAAATGCTCTTACTTTTACTCCTAAACGTAGGACCAACGATGCATCATTCTGAGAATTTTTGGCCAATTAGGAGTGATGTCCTGCTCTGAGATGCTTGGTAAATACAGGCCCTGGATTTCTATACTCGTGTTGATACCACCAGTAATTTGGTTTGCATTAGGTCTCTTAGTTGACCCTTTATTTTAAATATGGCTTATTGTCCTTTGCAATAAGCAGTGAAACATTAGGCATGTGTAACAAAGAAGTACTAACCATAAAATGCACTGTAACCACAATATTATTGTTTCTTATGTTGTCCAGGCTAAAGACAAAACACACTGGCAGAAGCTGTTTTCTCACTTCTGCAGCCGAACAGCCAACGAGGAAGAGGAAATTGCCCATAAGCTCCTGGGAGAGCAGTTCAAAGTAAGTTATCATCATGTTAATTCTGCTGAAAATATGAAATTGATCAGGTACAAAATGTATAAAGTCTTGACAGTTCAAAGACAGTATCAAGCTCGTTTGATAATTGCTGTTCTTTCCAAGTCACTAAGCAAAACGTCACTGTTCCTCTGCCCTGGCACATGTTCAGTTCCCACTGAGGCCGCTTATGTTTTTGAAGCATGTTTTTGTCATTTTAATATCTATTCTGTTTCTGTAGGGGCAGTTGGCCTTGTTACACAGTCTTTTTAAAGCAGCACTTTATGATGATCATCTCAGTCGGGTGAGTACATTTCACATGTGCCCACTACATGTTTCATGTTTTCAGCCCAGTACATCTTATTTGTTCTGTGCATTTTTACCAAATGCTGCAGAGCTGCCAGTCATATCTCAGGGGTTGGTGCTTGGCAGCTAATTGCAGTTCTCTGATTTTTATTTGAGTATCTTCGTCTCCTAAAACTTGTCCTGCTAAATTACTGGTTTAAACGTCACATGAAACATTCTTCGTGTTATGCTGATGGTGTTTTCTGCTGTATAAGCTTGAACAACAGGTCAGCATTTAGTTGTCGGTTACAGAATGGTGGCAACTAACAATGATTGTAATTATTTAATTTGTTTGGCTTTAAAATGTCAAATACTCTTCAGATTCCAGACTCTGAGGTGACGATATGATGGTTTTGTCTGAATTAACAGTCTGAACCGCAAAGATGTTCAACTTAATGAACAAGTTTGATACAATAGAACAAATTTGATCATGGTGTTTAATTATTATGACCAGAATATTTCTGGGGTTGATGAGAAATTTTGATGGGTTTTATGTTTTGTTTGGTCTGAAAAATGTCAAATCAATAAATAGACAGATTAATTGATATGTAAATAATCTCTAATTGCAGCCCTAATTTTATTTACAATGGTATAAAACTGGAAAAAAAAGCAGGAAATCCTCACACTGGTGAACCACTCAATAGTTTTTGCATCCTAAATTAAATGAGCAATTGATTATTGGAATAGTTGGTAATGAATTTTATTTGAATGACTAATCACTGTCTCTGTTTCCAGAAGTCAGGCTACCACTTATGGTTTTGCATTTGTGCTTGAAAAGTGGCTCAAATGATTAATAATTTGTTGCTGATTGATTTTCTGATTGTAAATCATTTCCCCTACATGGATCCATAATGTTCTGATTGTATTGCAGTGGTTTGTTCCTGAGGGTTTCTGCTCTCTGTTCGCTCTGGTGGGAACTAATGGCCAAGGCATCAGCACCAGGTAAACACCTGTCTTTTCTCTCCTTAACAGGTCTCACTCCACTGACATCAAACTAACGCTTCTTCTTTTCAATTCCAGCTCCTTGAGTCAGTGGGTTCACGCCTGTGACGCACTTGAGCTTCCTGTCCAGCAGAGGGAGCAGTTGGACGCCTTTATTGACCAGCTGTACAAGGACATTGAGAAAGGTCACACTTTTATCTTAGTTTTGCTGTATTGTAGGACTAAATACATTTAGCCTCTACTGAGCACAGTCATAATGGTCATTATGAGTATTTATGTTGCAATGCATGTCTGTGTTGTAGTTTTGACTCAGTGATATAATGTAATCTGTATGTAGATCTCAACAAGAGGTCAGAGGTGTGAATAATTTGTCTTTTGTCTCTGTAGAAACGGGGGACTTTCTAAACTGTGAGGGCTCTGGATTGTTTCAGATGTCCCATGAGGAAGTGGCTCCACCATGTGGCAAGTTACAAACCTCAAACTCTTTAAAATTTCACAGACATGTTGCATTTTCTTCAAGAAATGTACCTTCGAGTTTAAAATGTGAACCATACTAAAGCTTTACAGTGTATGAGGAACAAAGCTGTCTCTCTAAGACTATCTGATGGGCAGATAGTAGATAAAGTGACATTTCCAGAGATTTTGTGGTGCTTATATGGCATCTGCAGACTTATAGATTCTGATGTCTGAATTATGTATTAAACAAGAGAGCTTTGTATATATAACATTTCACCTGTAGAGAGGAACAGGACAACTTCTTGCATGAGGGAGAAATATTTTTGCCAGGTGAACAATACCATGTCATGTGAGTGAATGACTTGGTGTTAAGATTTTAGGCTTAGTAATTTATTGACATTAAGTGTTCTTCAACTCAGTCAGCAGTTTTCTTCCCATTTCAGGAGATCTGCATCAGTTATCTGGATTGCTGTCAGCGGGACCGAAGCCGCCATAGCAGACACAAAATTCTGAGGTAAATCTCTCTAATCCCTTGGATGAATCACTTGAATGGAGGTCGTATTGTTATGAATTCCATCTGATCAATGAAAAGCCTCCTGAGCAATAATGGGCAGTCTTGAGGCAGAGATGTTAGTGGTCTGATGGCTACTCCACTGCACCTCACTCTCCTCATTGATCACCATGTCATCAGTCCATCTTAGAATTACTCTCCGACACTGGGGAAGTTTGTTTTGCAAGTATCTGACATGCTGTAAGTTTGTACTGCATCCTGTGATAATTATCACCATTGAGAAGGTGCAGTTGCACTCCATGTTGGTGGTGTGAACCTTCAGGGGCCTCATATTACACCAGCTGTTTCAAAATATTAATTGAACCACAAGTATTGCATAGAATTTTAAACATTCGTTTGCTCTAGTGCACAGCAGCTGCTTGACAGTAGCAGATTTTCTGAACAGCAGTGTAAATATTCATGAGTAATTCAGCTCTTGTGAAAGGTGCAACAGGGTGACTGACCAACTGTTTTGTTCCCAGGGTGAACTACCTGTTTGTCTGTTCTTGTCCAAAGTGCATCTCCCAGATGGATGAGCTGGATGTGGCATCAGAGGAAGAGGAAGTAGAAGGCAAGGGAGAAGGTGAAACAGAAGATGAGATGACACATGTCTTAGATGTCTGATGAAAGACTTCCCATTATTCTCAGCCGTTCCATTCCTGTCCCCATGCTAATCAGCCATGAAGCTCTCAAGAATAAAAACCATGATCTACATTTAACCAGAACTGTCCAAATGTCTAACACATTTCATTCTTTATCCAGCTTTAAAGGTCAGCCACAGGATAAGGTACGTGTACATGTCTGTGTCAGTATTAGGATATACTTTTATTGTTTTAACCCTATGTAAGCACATTGGGGTTATACTTTAGAAACTTTGTGTTTACACCATATTGGGTAAGTATGGCAAGGATTTTCAGCATTTATTCCATATCCTTGTTATCAGAGGTCTTTTTCCTCCACTGGGTCAGTCTTTGTCAGCACTATTGAGACATTTGGTTGCAGTAGTTAAACAAAAACTCTTACTAGTTGCTCTTTTTCAGCAACTAGTAGCACCTGTCCAGCTAGTTCCAATAGAGGCCACACTAATAACTACTAACTAGTTATTAGCTATAACTATAACTAGCTAACTAGAGAGTATTTTGGCTTTTACTAGTTCAAGTAGTGAACATTTTCTTAACTAGTTGAGTCAAAATGTCTCTCACTGCTGTGACTAGTGGTTATTTTGGACCTCATTAGTTAACTAGTAAACATTTTGAGCTTCACTGGTTAACTAGTAAGGTCAAAGTGGCTTTAAGTAGTGACCTGAACCAATGCTTGACTAATTAACATATCAGAGAATTTGCAGCTCACTAGTTAACCAGTAGGACTTTTAGCATTACAAGTTTGTTCCACACGGCAACTGCTGTTTCAAAAAGCTGATTAATTGGGACTTTGGAGCTACCATGATGCCCACGTTACTAGTATGGCTTATCTTGGAACTAGTTGGACAAAAGAGCCACTAGTTGACAAGAAAGTGTGACTTGGGTTTTTGTTCAACAGCTATGACAAAATGTCAAATTAGTGCTGCCAAAGACCTAACTAGTTGAGAAAATTGATGTCTGATATCAGGGGTATGGAATAAATCCTCAAATGGCCTGCCATAAAAAAGGATTCATAGCAGTTTTTACCTTTGGGGACTATAGACGGGCGACAAGCTGTAAACAGAACAGTGACATGTTGGCACCTTATGAATTTGCTATGACAAATGTATTAGCTTACTATCTGCAAAACCCACCGACATTGACAAGACCAATATTTTGTTTTGGCCTGCACCAACTCCTGAGGCAGATATATGGCTTTCAATCAAAATGTTTCTTCACTCTGTTCACCAGCTACTTTTATATTTACCTTTATGCTGTTTGATGTTTGGCAGGTAGCATACAGGAGGTTTTATCACAGTTTTTTCTGCTGAATACAGACGCCTGTAGCTAATGGAATCAGAATCAGCTTTATTGGCCAGGTGTGACGGACACATGAGGAATTTGACTCAGGTACATCGGCTCTCAATGTGCAAACAGTAAACCAGCATAAGGCTGTGTAATATAACAAAATAACAGTATTAACATGAACAAACAGTACATCTGCATTTGTGAACTACCAATAATAAACACAACAAACCCAGAATTTAAAAAGCAGCCCATATGAAATGTATTCATTTCATTATTAGCACCAAACAGCAAAGATAAAGTTAATAACTAGCTGGTTAGCATATTAGCAACTAAAGAGTCGGATAATTCCCTCAGGTACTGGTGGAGACCAGAAGAAAACTAAAGTATGAGTGCTGGACTTGAACTCACTGGGTGTCCAGAAAGACAGCAAATGAAAACTCATATTGCTCCTTGCTGAAAGTGCAAATAAGTAACTGGTTACTCACCATATTAACCACAATGGTGACGGTATGTCGATGCTGTATTCACACCATATTTCCGCTGCCCCTAGTGGCAAAACAATCTGTTATTGTAGGTATAAAGTTAAAAGTCAGCACTTTATCTCCAATGTTACTGTGCCATTTGAAATCCATTGCATATGAGCTGAGAACCAAAATAAATCTACCTAATGCCTACAAACTGCACTGTCTGTGACCTCCAGGTCCACTAAATACAACTCAGAAGAAGAGTTGGCATTTGTTGTTCCTTACCATTTTAAAGCAAGGTTAAGTGATTAAGCAAAGGTTCTCAGAATGATTTTTGTTCTACATATCTGAAGTTTCTTACAAAACTATGCATACTGTATTGAAGAGGCTTTTATTTATATTCCATTATAATTGTGGTCCTGCCATACAGTGACATATAGTTTGGCTTTCATGCCGTAATCTATGGGGTTAAGTTGAACCTTACTTACTGTATTATGGAGACCATGAGTGGAAAATTGCTTTGTCAGTAACTGGTTGCCCTTTGTTGAGAAGTGCATTTCAAACCACGGTTCCACACGAGTGAAGCTGCTGCTGCTGCCCACACATGAATCAATATTACACAAATGACTGTAATCACAAATCCCAATATTTTCTCTTACTCAACACAGATTGGAAATATTGAATAAGTAATCTCAATTTTCTCAGTTTGTATTCAGTGCAGTTGCAAAGGAGATCATGGCTGTTGTAAGTCGTAAGTATAATTTAAATATTATAACAGCAACTACTGTAACAGGAGCATAGCAGTTGTCATTTTTACTACTCTGGCATAAACCATTGAAATTGGATGTCTGTTGAATCATTTATCTGGTTTATACACCTCATGCCTTTGCTACAGAAGATGGGCTGGTAAAATATTTGTTCAGTCTTTGCATATTAACCACAAATCCTTAGTCCCGTTCTCTTCCTGGAGGGGGGCGGGCTTTAACTAATCATTGATTTTGCATGACCCCCACTCTCCAGACAGTCTTTTGCTGTAGGCAACTCACATCCTATGTTTTATTTCATATCATTAATTAGCAAGTGAATTAAATGAGGTATTCTCCTGCCACTGCCTGCCTGCTATTCAGACACTGATTCACACTGACAAAGTACAATTGGATTGCTGCTAGCAGACACTAGATTAGAATAGGTTTAGAGTAATAAGATCATTGCAAAGTTAAAATATAATTCCATACTTTTCACTGTCTCCAGTCATCTGTGGTTGACATGTCTCCATTCAGCTTCTCAGTTTACGCTGCTCTACCCCCCACTTAATTTACCCAGGATGCACAAAAGAGAAATGGGGAAAAAGCACACCCATGAAAGGATACACACCTGGGACCCAGCATGGCAGAAGGCTGGTCCTCTGGACATATTCTCCAGTTGATGCTCCCCCACCACAGGTTGTCATCCTCTGAACCTGTGCCACAAACACTACGGGAACTCTGTAACCCAGTAACGTGGACTTTGGTGCAGCAGCCCACAGTGGGGGTTGAGCTTTGGGCAGGCATACAGATAGTACAGGCCCTCGACATCACACAGCGTGTCCGTTTCAAGTAGAAAAGGCAGAGGTCAAGGCTTTCACCCCGAGAGAAGTGGGCCAGATAGAGACTCGATTGAGGACTCAGGGGGGTGGGAAGTGAGTGTTTGAGGAAAGGAAAATGGACTTCATATACAGCACATTTCAAAGACTACAACGATCTAAAAGTGGCTTAATACTGTCATTACCACATTATGCAGATAAAGGAAGGAGAATACTTGACTACTTAAAGAGATGAAAGATTTTTTAAGTATGTTTTGTCCAAGAAAAATTTTATTTTACTTGTCACTTGAAAAGTTGGACTATACTTTGCCATATGAAAGGATTTAAAGTCTGTCTGAGATGCTCATGCAGGTTTGATCCAACATCTGTATGTCTTAATAAAATATAATTGGTTTTTCAGTCAAGGCCTCTAAGATGTGGAATAACTAATAATAGTAAGGTAGCAAAATGTGGCTCTTTTGCAACTTCCACCATGGGTAAAGATGCACATTCTTAGGGCTGCATCTAACATTACGGATTAATCGATCAACTTGTTTGATTAACTGTTGAAAAATAACTGTCACCACTTCCCAGAGCTTAAGGTAATGTTTTTAAATGGCTTGTTTGGTCAATAGTGATAACCCAGTGATATTCAATTTACAAGAGAAAACAACAAATCTTCAAATTGGGGAAACTAGAAGCAGAGCATTTTTAATCAATACTTAACTGATAAACCGAAATG